CGGGGTAAATAATTGCTAAGATCAACTCACTCCACAATTCTTTAGCATAAAAATGATTGCAACATACTGATAGGAACAAACCAAAGTGATGCCAGAGGAATCTTSGGTTTCTGTGGTTTCTGAGTTTTTCCCAGCAGAGTCTGGAAATATAAAACTGCCAGGCTGGCAAACAGACATGAATACTTCACAGTGGTGCTTACAGACATAATTGAGAAAAGACAAAAATCTTGTTAATCAGAAAACTCAGCAGAATCTCTTTGGAAGACCACATCCAGCACAGCAGACAAGTGCTGGTGCAATGCCGCCGATCACTCCATTTTGCCTAACACATACATCACATAATCTGTATGGTTACTGTGCTTATTGATCCTGGGAGGCACGGGGTGAGCACAGCCAGGCTACATTGCAGGGACTCCAAAGCTCATTGTGGGTCTGCAGGCTGTTCCCTGACACGGACTGGCTTTCAGTTTGCTCGCACTGAGCTCTCASCCCCGCTATATCCAGGGAAAAGCGTTTTTATTAGCCATGAACGCGTGTCTGCTCACAGCACGGGTGTAGGAAAGGCACCGGGAGAGGAGGGGGATATTCATCAAGCTCCATAAATGCTGGCTCTGTCTCCCTCTCCCCCACGCACCTTGAGATTCCATGCACATTCTGGAGCCGCTATGCAAGGAAAAGCGGGATTTTTTTTTTTTTTTTCCACCGAGCCAGCTCGTGATTTCCATACCGAGAGGCTGGAAGCATCGAGAAGCGGGGGAATCGGAGGGGAGATGCTCCGCTTACCCGGGGCAGGAGAGGGACACGGGTGATGAGCAGGGACATTTCCGCCCACYGTCGCTCCCTCCCCCGAAGCGCTCCCCGCCGCTGTGTCCCCTCGCCGCTCCCTCCAGCCCTTCCCCGCTCAAGGATCTCTCTGCAGCGCTTCCCTGCCGGGGATCGCGGGGAGGATGCGAGGCACCGGCAGAGAGCCGGACTGCAGAAAAAATAAAATGAAAGGATGTGAAACAAAGGGCTGGCCGAGGGTGGGGGCCGGCCAGGAGGCTGGGATGCTCTTACCCGGTCGATATCGCCGCCGTGGCTCGCCGGATTGTGGTGCAGGAGGAGGAGGAGGAGGAGGCGGAGGAGGGGAGCCTGGTGCCGCTCCACCCGCAGCGCTGCCCCCGTGCCGAGCCCTGTCCCCGCCGTGCCCCGGCTCCGGGAGCTGCCCCCGGCAGTGTCGCTCTCCTCCCCGGTGCCGGCTCCCCTGGCCCCTCCGCCGCCCGCCCCCGCCCCCGCCCCAGGGAGGTCGGGGAGCCCGACAGAGCCCGGCCAGCGTCACCCCCAGACCCCCGGCCGMGGCTGCCGGGATGAGCCCCCGGCGCTCTCCGGCCCTCGGGGCTCGCTCCCGCCTCCCGCTCCTCGGTGTGGTCTTCTCTGTGTTCCACCAGCCTGGGCAAAGCCCCTCTCCTCCTGCCTGCTGCTGAGATGCCACAATTTGTTATTCTTTCCTCGAGAATCGCTTCCATCACCACCAAAAAAACCCACCTCTACCCCAGCAAATCCCGTCCCTCTTCGCAACTCCTCTTGCTATTCGGGTTTGCTTCCCTCTCTCCTCCTCCTTCTCCCCTCCCTCTTTCTCCCCTTTTGGGTTTGGAGCCTCTCTCTGCCCTACACACACACACAGACAGTCACGCACGGTGTAAATGGGTTGTCACACACACAGAACTGCTGCTGGTTCGCAGAGWCCCCCCACCCTGCTCAGCCTTCCTCTAGCTTGAAGCCGCAGATCATGGACTATATGCTTGGAGCCGGGATGCGTTTTTTTCACAGCCGCTTCGCCTCCTGCAATTTCACCCGGTGAGTAGGTTTGATTTCGCGTTCAGGTGGCGTTTCCAACAGAAAGGATACTAAAAAACAACAGGGAAAAATAGAAGGAAAAGAAAAAAAAAAAAGTAAATTAAAAGAAGTATTGCTTCGTCTTGCTCCTGAGCGGGCTGGCTCCACTTTCTAAACTCGAAGGAATTAGGAAACACCAGTTCTGTGCTTACATTCATTCCCTGTCACCGCGCTCGGCGCTGATTGCAGCGCGCCGCAGCATCGCTTCCAGACCTGCACCGTTCCACTGCTTATTCATCACATTTTATTCATGTTTGCATCAGGCATGGTACCTGCTCCATYCCCTGGTTTAACCCTTGCAGACGAAGCCCCTCCTGTGGACTCTGGAAGGGCTGTGTTTCTCCCGGTGTCGGGGAAAGGACGGGATTGCTGTGGCTGAGGGAGCCCTGAGCGTGCCTGAGGAATGTCTGGGAATCTGCGGGGGGAGATCAGGTGGAAAAGTTCATTGCTCTTCCCGATCCCCCGAAGAACTTGGACCKGATTGGGGGTGGGGAAGGATTCTCCAGAAGGGATAGGAAAGGGTTTACAGAGCGAATGTCCCGTGGCGTGTTCTGGGAGGTGGCAGCGGCCACCGGGTGGGAGCGGTCGGGGTGCGGGGGAGCAGCGGGGGCCGCCGGGGCTCCTGCCCTGCGGCTGCCGGGGCTTCTGTCCAGCCGCTACCGCCGCTCKCTCCGCGCCCTTTCCTCATTTCTCAAGCCCATCGCGTCTGATTTCATTTATTACTATTTTCGAGCATACCTGTATTTTTTGGCTGGCCAAAAATTTGCTCCTGAGGAGCGCAGGATAGGAGCGACGCGTCATCTTCTGAGAACGTACGCACACCTATTCATCTACCTGATGTGGAGGTAGATGGTAAAGATAGGTCTCTTGAACCAAGTAGGGCTTATTTGAAAGAAAAAGAGAGAAGAACCCAGGGAAATAAACACGTTGTGTTTAAAAAAAGGTCAAGTGCCTTCAGAGTGTTATTTGTGGTTGATACTTCCAGGATTTCAGTGTCTCTAATTAGCGGAATAGATCCACCCACGGTCAATAGCAGAAGGTAGGGAGAAAACATGTTACCTCGGGCGGGGAGCTATTGACTGGGCTCCATTTAACTCTGTCATTCGGGTGAAGGGTAAGGGTGTGTGTGTGTTTGTGTGTGTGCGGTCATGTCTCCAAAGCAGCACATGCAGAGATCACCAGGAAGGTACTAAAGGCTTGCAGGCAGGTAGAGATGGCAGTGAGAAATWACAAGATCCGAATTTATTGCCTGGTGGCAAGCAAAAGACGGGAAAGACCAATGGCCCCTTCAATGCCAGAGTATGCTCCCCGGCTTGTTCTCCCGGCCCCCCCTCCTCCCCCGCCCTGTAGCCCTCTCCCCGCACCCCCCGGCAGCCAAATTGCTGGCTGATATCTGGAAAGGAGCCCTTCAAGCATGGGATCCAAAATGCACTCTTCCTCCAGCTCCTCTCTTCTCCCACCAGCTCCAAGCCCCCATGCCTACTTATCTCCTCCCAGACAAGCGTCCTTCTCCCGGAGATTCTCCTCCGGGAGGTTTTCCCATTCCCACTGACSTGCCCCTCTGCCCCCACCTCCTCATGCCCCGGCTTTTTCCATGAGACTGAGGTGATTAACCAAATCCCAGACATTTCTCCTGAATTACCCGCCTCTGGCGCTGCTGCTGCCGGGATCCTCCCGCACCAGGCTGCTTAGGAAAGTTTCCGTGCAGTCATACCCGCTTCTCTCCCCAGGTAGAGAGCGCGTTTCAAAATCTCAACCTGTTTTTAATCCTTCCCTCCCCACCCGCCCCCCCTCAGACCTTTAGGAAATAAAACAACCCCAAAACAAAACAGCAATCCTGAGGGATCTGACTTGTAGTGGGAATAGCTCAGCCAGTGAGCATCGCCTTGCCATGCTGCTTAAACGCTACCGCTCTGCAGAAGAGATTTATGTGCCCATCAGCAGAATATTTSCCGGGTTTAAGAGCACTCGATATTCCCTCTGCCGACGGGGATGGGAGATGGTAGGACACAGSATGAGGGCAGCGGCGTTGTTTAGCTCACAGGCACTGTGACGGATGGCAGTAAAACGGTGTCTGGGCAGTAAAAGTGACAGGTTGGACCGGGTGGCATTTCTATACTCAGCGGAAGGCGAGGGGACACACACCAAACCCTTTGCATACAACACCAAATAAATCAATGCAAGTAACGTGGGCTTGATGGGCGATTGCAACAAGCAAGAGTCAGACACGGTTAATAGAGATGATTCCCATTACCCTTGGTTTCCAGCATTCCGCACTCCCAGCCCAGGCATGCCTTCTGCTCACATGGGGCTGGATGACTCAGAAGAAACAGAGCAACACCGGGCAGCAGCTTTTGCTTTGCAGTAGTTGGTTCTTYTGCTTTTTGTGCAATAGATCGGTGGTGTGGAAAAACCCCCCGAAGCGGTGGCCCATTCCCGAGAGAATGCTCCCAAACAACTCTCTTYCCTGTATTTAGGTGTCCAGGCTCCCTGCTTGCCCGTGTCTGGCTTCACTGCCAAGGATTATCTCCATCTCCCCTGAAGCCGCGCGGCTTTGGGACTCCCTTTTGGCCGGGAGTTCATTTCCTAATTTCCATGCTGGCAGGGGTAGGCGAGCATCCAGGGAGGTGGCTCTGGCAGAGGGAACAYCTTTAAGGACGCGTGTCAGGGTCCAGCCTGCCTGCTCAGCCTCCGGGGCTCGGTCTGCCCCGCTCGTGTCCCCGGGGCAGGTCCCGGGGAGGGGAAGGGAAGGGAGGGGCGGGACGGTGACAAAGCGGAGGTCGGGGGGACACGGAGCAGGGAGGGCTCCGGCTCCGGGCGGAGCGAGCAGCGGCAGCGCCGGTCCCGGCTGCGGGACCCCCTGCTCTGCCACCGCCGCCCCTCGCCMGCCTCTCCTCATCCTCGGCAGCTCATTTTGTGGGGAAAGGAGAAATCGGCTCCTCGGGGAGCGCTGCGTGCCCTGCAGCCGCCCCGCAGCGGGAGCAGAGCTTCACCGCAAAGAGTTAAGGCAGGGCTGCAGGGCGCTCCAGGCTGGAGTCCTGTGTGCGCCTCTGAGATGCACCAGCCAATCCCAGCCACAGCAGCRTGAACTAGATGTAGCGTGCTGTAAGGAGGGAGGTGAAGAAAATAGGGTGTAAACTGTCACCGCACATCGCGAGGCAGACCTGCTTTTTGGGCTACGATTTCTGTGCTACTTAGAGACCATCATGCGTTTGAAAAGGTAAGGGCTCTGTTAGCAGCAGTCTGTTTGGCGATTCACTGCCGGATTCCAGCGCGTTTTCTGYGTACCTTTCATTAAGTGCTAAATTGTGTAGCGCAGAGTGGGAAGAAAGTGGAATGTGGCATGATTTAGTGTTTGGGAGTCRTTCTTGAAGACTATGTCAGATTCAAGTTGTAATGATTTCGTGTAGCGATTAAGCAAGTGAATGCATGTGGAATAAAGTGAATTCATGACTGGCAGAAAAATGTAATGTATGCGATGAGAGAAGGATGTTCTGTTGAAGTACCAAAATCAGTCATGGATCCATGTGAAATGAAGGCCRGTGTGAGATAGACCTGACTTGGAAAAAATACAGAGAGTAGTTCAGAGATATATATCTGACAAGCAAGCCTTGCGGAAGAAACAAAAATAACTTCTTTCATAGAAAATCCCATGTCTAAATTTATTTAAATACAGCATCACAAAAGAATGTTATAAAAAGGAGAGAAGTCAAAACCTTACAGGGTCTGTATGTTCAGAGATGAGTGACTCTGACACGTTAAGTGTACAGAGATAAAGCTAGAGTGGCMCTACTTACATTTACAAGATATAAGAAATAACTTCAGAGGAGCAATCCATTTAGGTATCAGACTTCACAGACTGCTGTCATTGCTCAACTCCATCCTTGCGAGGAGTTACTCATTTTAAATAGGTGCTCTATCAGCTCTACCATGAGRCCAGCTTTGGGAATAGAAACATTTGACTGGATCTCTTCCTCTCTGTATCTAAGCATGGCAACAGACCCTCGGTCTCAGATGCTTTTGCAGTGCTAATCAGCAGAGCTCCTTAAAGAAACTACCTACAAATTCTTGCCTCCAACCATTTTTCTCTCTTAGACGTGTACATAATTTAAGCAGGGGAGGAATAAAAAAAGAAAAAAAGATCTGTGATATTTTCTGTAAGCTGATCCACCTCCAGTGAGAGCAAACCTCCTCAACAGACGCTGAGTTCAGCGGAGTCGTGTTTGGGGTGCCTGTTCATGAAATGCTGAAACCCTGTGAGTGAAAACGTTAACTAGGAAACACGAAAACAAGCAGCTGAATGTTTTTGCAGAGCTCACTGCAGAAGGCAGCATTTGTACAACAAGCCRACAAAACAACTTGAGAATCTTCAAGTGATGCAATCATCGTGTCTCATCCTTTCCCAGTTTTTTTTTACTGCTCTCTGAATGCCTTTATGAAGAATTAATTAYAGAAGTCAATTCATTGTTTACACCAACATGTATCCAAAAATTTACTTTTTAGTCACATAGATTGTAACGACTTTTCACTCCTCTCAGTGCCAGACAATAATTTTTGGGACTAAAATATTTTTTCTTCATTTGTATTAATTCAAATTTGAGTAATCATATCTGATTGCTGACAGTCTAAGACATTTCTTGCTTGAGAAAAGGAAGATCTTTCTACCAGCAAGCTTGCTTCTTCAGCAGTTTTTGAAAATCTAAATGGAAAATTGGATGGTCAAACTACTTACCTGAGTTTTCCTCAGAAGAAAAGGAGTGGTGGGAATTATTAGGTGATAGTTTCAGGAAACATTATTTTCTAGCTGTCAGGCACGCCTAGTGCAGCCCCTTCTTAATCCTCCCAAAGCTTCTCTTCTCCTCAAAACCAGTAGACATTGATTTTATTTTTTTACTCTCCTGAAACACCAGAAATCTCACATGGGAGCAAAATCACCACAAATACACTCTGACAAAGAGAGCCCAGGTGCTCTTTGGGAAAGGTTGGTCTGAAGAACACTGTCCTGTTAGAGCTGAAGGTGGTGGGTTACAGCCAATCATTCCATGGGGAAGTTATCTTACTCTTCTTCTTGACCTCATCCTAAACCATCATAAGAGAACATTTGTTAAAAACAAACTTGCAGCCACATTCTCTTCAGAGCACTATTTTCCTGTTGCTCAGTATATGTGTGTTCAGTGAGGGTTTGATCGTGGTCCATTAAAGGAGGTCAGAACATCTCTACTAACTTCAATGAAAGCAAGATCAATTTCCAAAACRGTATTTTGGAATCAAAATGAAGGTYAGATTTAAAAGGACAAAAGGTGGGCATCATGAAATTACATGGTGCATGCTGAGCAGTGTAAGGCTTTGTGTATTATTATATTTTAGTATAAAAATACTACAGAACTGAAGAATTTGTAATCTGATCTTACATTGGTCTAGGCCTCAGTACTTTTTCATCATTGATTAATTAACGTTTATCTGTATTAAGTTGAGGAACATTGAGACAGCCCATCTCCAGGTAATCAGCTTCTTGTGGCTCAAGTCATTCCCCTGCTGAAAACTGTAATGTGGAGAATTTTGTCTTCTAGCTCTGAAGTTAATAATTTGTATGTACCACAGTTCGTGTGCATACACAAATAGAGTTTATATATAAATATACACAATATGCACTATACATCCTTCTTCACCCATGGTCTCTATAATCCCTTTTTTGCCCTGGCTCACACCATGGGAATGACCATTTAACCCAGTCTGTTTCCCTTCTCCCTTTGAAAGTCTTCACCTGCTCTGTGTGCCACAAAATAATGCGCGGATGAGAAGGAAGARGGACCCTCTGCCACATCAGAGCTTTTCAACTTTAATTAATGAGCCTCTCACAAAGGCCACAGATTTCGTTCCACCTTCAGAAGAAGATTGACCAAGCAATATGTCTTGTTAGCTAAATTGAGACTATTAAACTGTACTGGTTTCTCTTATAATGAGGTGAAATCATAAGGCTCCTGTGTCAGATACCTTTACTGTAACAGTTACATTAATGGGGATTAGAAAATCCTGCTCCTTCRCAGTAACACCTTCAGTGCCACATCTACCAGCACTTGATTAATGGGAAAAGTGGTTTGTAAGGAATTTATTATACATTGGCAAGTACAGGACGTAAATCTGGAAATCAGAGCACTGCTCTATACTCTTAATCCCATATTATTCGTTACTACTGAGAATTCTGTAGAGCTAATTTAGCTCTTTCAGTTCTTATAAATCTACTGGAAATAACAAAAACACCTGGTTAACTGAACATGGATGACCACTCTGAACTCAAATGGGATTATTAAAATCCATTCTAAATGTTGCTTTTTAATATTTCCTTTTTAATTTTTTTTCTTTATTTGAAATCTGTTTCTAAGGGGGCTTACCATCACTGGTGAAAAACTGCTAAATGCTGAAAAATAGTATCATGGATGGAGGTGTATATTTTTATTTCACTGTTTTTCACCTAAAATATTTTTAATCCCTATTCATTAACAATTTGCTGGACAGAGAGAACACATGTATATTACAACAGTTTTTTATATTGAATAATTCTATATGTTTGTACTTAATCTGCTGCCCTAAAGGTCAAAATTGCTGTATTTTAGGGCAGAGATGATACCCACATCTTTTTCTTCAGAAAGAGTAGCTGCTCAGCATTTCTTGGATTAAACCCCTTATTCCTTTAGGTCTGTACCAATTTTCCTAATGAAGATGCTTGTTTAGGTAAAGCAGCAATGYTTATGCAGGTCAAGACTCATCCTGYTGCCAGTCTCTGGAGACTGTGGATTTATTTCACAGAGAGCCATTAGTTGGTGATGTTCTCTTTTTAAGTCACTGCTCCTGTGGGATGTGAATCTGACTCTTTGGCTTAAAAGGTAAAAGCTTTAGTAGCTACCTAAGTACTCTTTAAGCTCTTTGTTAGCTTGAGTTTATTAGATTGATTAGTTGAAG